CAACCCCTGCCCTCACCCTATCCCACCCCACCCCTACCCTACCCTACCGCACTCTCAGAAAGCAACAGCTTAAAAAAGGAAGCCATCAAAGAGAAAGCTTGAAAATTGTGAAAAGGATGCTGCAGTGGCATCAAAGGAAGCCTCTGATGGCTTCTGGACGGGGTAAGGGCGGAGAAGGACTCGGCTTTCCTCAGGGGGCTGGCCACCGGGAGTTTGACCATGCTACAGTGACTATATGAGCAACACAATTGGGTGTAGTTTTTCTTTCCTTTCTTATTTTTCTTTTGGTGGTGGGGGTGTCACGAAAGATGGGGAGTGGACACGGGGGGGGGGGCTGGGAAGTGAGTGTGATCAGGGTACGTGGTGTGAAATTCCCAAATAACAAATAAAAATATAATGTTGGTTGGGGGGTGTGGAGTTAAGACCAGACTCAGGTACATGGAGAGTTTTATCTGGTGCATATGAAACCTCATCTTCAAACAGTGACACACGGTTTCTCCATGTAACAGAACCCTGGCTATCCTGAACTCACTTTGTAGATCAGGCTGGCCTCAAACTCACAGCAATGCACCTGCCTCTGCCTCCCTGAGTGCTGGGATTATAGGCACCACCATGCCTGGCTCGTTATATATTTCTTACAACAACAAGGTAGAGCCAGATGCAGTGGGAAGGAGGCAGGAGGATTGGGAGTTTGAGGGTAGCCTGGGCTACACAGAAGGAACTTGTCTAACAAAACCAAACAATTAAGGAACCATAGTTTTTGTTTTTTGAGACAGGGTCTCTCTGTGTAGCCCTGGCTGCCCTGGAACTCACTCTGTCAAACAGGCTGACCTCAGACTCAGAGATCTGCCTACGGTAAAGGCATGTGCCATTGCTGCCCAGCTACCCGGAACCATGTTAATGAGAGTCTTAGCTACTTTTCTTTTGCTGTGGTTAAAACACCATGACCAAAGCAGCAGCAGATAGAAAGAGCTTGCTTGGGCTTAGGGCTCTAGCTTGTGAGTGTATGCATGTGAGTGTATGCGTGTTTGCATGTATAGAGGTGGGGGGGGGCTCTGCAGCTGATGCTGCTCTAGCATCCTCCACCAGCTTCCATTCTGTGCACCGAAGCAGGTTCTCTCACTGAACTTGGAGCTCCGCAGCTCTGGCTATTCTGGCCAGCTAGTTTGTCTCTGGCATTGCCTCCCCCACCCCGACTTTTTATCTGGGTTCTGGGGATCTGAACTCTGCTCCTCAACTTTCCCAGCAAATACTTTATTCACCAAGTCATCTCCCTGGTCCAGGAGCTGAACTGTCTCTTCTTATTCCCTTTGAGGAGAGAGCTGGGGTTTGTATACACACATGGGATACCCCCTTCCTCACCCCCTAGCCTGCTCTGGTCACCTCATCTAGGAGAGGTCTCACCAGCACAGGCTGAGGGCCCAGGGGTCCTTGTCCTACACCATGCTTTTCCCAACTCTGACCTCCTTGGAAATGCTGCCATTTGAGTTCTGAAAGAAATGCCACTCCCTCAGGACCTTGATGCCTTCATGGATCGGGGCCACTGGCTGGGCGCAGATGGGCACTGACCCAGGGTCTTTAATACCTGCCTTAGCTGTGATGGGAACTCCAGCCTTCTGCACAGAGTTTACATCTCTGCTGCCCTGCGCCTTTCTTCTCAACAGGGCCCTTGCTTGCTGTCCAGCTCCTATGAGATTCTCTGCTACTTCTCTAGACATCAGGTCTAGACATCTAGACGGTGACAGTGTGTCCTGCAGCGTCCTAACCCGCCTTCAATAAATCTCCAGCAAACAAACACCTTTCTTGGGCTCTGGGGAGCTCGTTGCTTTGCTATATTAGAGTCTGGACAGCAGGGGGAGCTACAAGATCTATATTTGTTCCAGTTACAGCCGTCTATGGCCCTAACGATCTGGAAGGAAGGTTGGCCAGGCTGCCTCTGGGTTCTCCACAGGAACGTAAATTTAGCCTGGGTACAGAGACAAGTTCCAGGAATATTGTATGGTCTAGACACAGGAGGAACAGGCTGCACTTTTAAGATCAGCCTGGACTACAGAGCAAGAATGTCACCTAACAAAAGAACTCTGCCCCATCCCCGGGAACCAGGCCGTGGTGGCGTGCCTTTAGTCCCAGGACTTGGGAGGCAGAGGCAAGCAGATATCTATGAGTTTGAGACCAGCCTTGTCTACATAGTGAGTTCCAGGATAGCCAAGGCTACACAGAGAAACCCTGTCTTGAAAAATCCAAAAACTGAAGAGAGAGAGAGACCCCGGGGTGTGGTGGGGCTCTAGCATTCAGGAGGCAAAGGCAGGAAGACCTCAGGGGCCAGCTGATATACATAGCAAGTTCAAGGCTAGCCAGGGCTACATGGTGAGGCTCTGGTGAGGTTGAGAAAAGCGAGCCAGAGAGATGACTCAGCTGGCAAACGGCTTGCCACCCAATCGCAAGGGCCTGGGTTTGTGCCCCTGGGCGCCTGTGTGGTAGCCTGCTGCTGTAGCGAGCATCTGTACCCTCTACACTGGTAGAGGGCAGAGACAAAGGAGTCTGCTAGCTGCCATAGCCCAGCTGGGACCTTCAGCTTCAACGAGAGATCCTGCCTCAAAGCTATGGAGGGCTGTTATGGAAGACGCAGGACGTCAGCCTCTAGCCTCACCACAGGCATACATGTATGTTCACCTGTGCACACATATACCTCACGCAAAGTTAGGGAAAGGCTGTGTAAGTCTGAATGCCAATAAGATACTGATATTAACTCAGGGGGTTTTGTTCTATCTTTAATGCTTCCTATCTTGATTGCATTAGGAGGGTTGGAGTTAGGGTTAGGGTCCTGGTACTTTGGTTTGGCGGAGACATCAGAACAAAGCACCACAAGCTGGGTAGTTTACACAACAGAAATGTATTGCCTCACAGTTTAGGGGATTAGAAGTCCAAGGTTAAGGTGTGCTCAGGGCCCGGCTCCCCCTGAGGACCCAGCGAAGGGCTGTCTAGGTCTCGCTCCTCCCACCCGGCAACCTCCGGGTCTCATTCCTCGGCTTGTGAGCACACCGCTGCCATTTTCCATCTGCAGGGACCACCTTCCTTCTGTGCCTTCCTGCCGTCTTCTCTCTGCACACGTCTGCTCCAAACCCTCCCCGCGTGCCCCCCTACGCATGTGCTTCCAGTTGTCCCCAGTTTTCTCCGCCTGATTTTTTGAGTCAGGGTCTCTCCGTCTCTCTTGGTGGAGCTGGAATTCACCATGTCAGCTTGACGGTGTGGCCAGCATGCCCCCTGGATTCTCCTTGGCTCTGTCCCCTGGAGAGGGCTCACAGATAGACACATTGCCCCTGGGCCTGGTGTGAGGTGGTTTTTTGTTTTGTTTTTTGTTTATTTATTTGTCTATTTATTTATTTTACCACTGGGGCTAAGCCCCAGAGCTGTCTCCTCAAGCCACGATGCCTGTGTGCAGGCCAGAGAACAACTGATGGGAGCTGGTTTTCTCTTTCCACTATGTTGGTCCTGGGGCTTGAACTCAAGTTGGCAGCTTGATGACAACTTCAGTTACCTGCTGAGCTACCCTACTGGCCCCTGCCTTTTATTATACTATTATTATTATTATTATTATTATTATTATTATTATTATTATTATTATTACTATTGACAGTCATCTTAGTAAGCTAGGACCACCCTGGGTGACCTTACTGTATCTTCATTATGGCTGTAAAGACAAAATAAGGTCACATCTAAGGACCCCAATACTTTAGGGGGTGCACAATTCAACTGCTAACAGTCTGTAAGCAAAGAGTCAGACAGTGTGGGTGGTCCAACATCGTGCCCTTGGTACAAAACTCTGTCATTTCTATACTTCACTGAGGTCAGGATGAATGCTCACGGCTGACCTGAGGTCATGAGAGTTCTTTAGGATCCCCAAACCCGGGCAAGCTGGAGGGCCCTGTGCATCACAAACAGACTGGGGGCTAGCCCTGGCTACAGGAGTCAGATTTCAGACAGACAGTTGTCATTAGGCCAGCTTCTGCATGTTGCAGATGGGAAAACCAAGGTTAGCTTCAGGCCACAGAGGTCTGGGCTGGGCTCAGTGGGAGTCGCTGACACTGGCCAGAGTTGTCCCAGAGGCCTGGGATCATTGCTATGCATCGTACCACACTAGTCATGACACTTACACTTCCGTGTCTCATTGCCTCCTGTCTCAGGCTCTACTCCAGCCCACATAACCTTGACCTGCATGGACTCTATGGCCTCCCAGATCCTTCAAGGGCCCTCCGCTACTCGTGATTATCAGCTGTGGCCTCCCTGGTCGCCTCCTCCTGGCTCTTTCTGTCTCTCTCTCCAAGACCTCCCCACAAGGTCTCAGAGCCTCTTGGCAGATAAAGACTCAGGAGTTCAGAAACCTTGTGGTTTGTCCAACTTCGAGAGTCTGGAACCCAGGGTTTGGCTCACAGGTGTTCAAATCATTCAGTCCAGCTTTCTGAGCTCCCAAAGAGAAGGGGGGCGTCCCCGTCTCCATGTTAATAAGTCTGCTGTACTGTGTGTACATAACAGAGACCTGGGTCAGGAAGGACGCCTTATGGGGTTGAAGATGTACCCAGTTGAAAAGAGTGCCGACTTAACATGCAGAAAGCCCAAGCTTCCCTTCCCAGCACCCAGTAAGCCAGGACTTTTCCCAAGGATGCCCAAAGCAGTCTGTCTGGTCTTCAGAGCTTTCAGAGGGAGGGGGCATATTAGCACTTGGGAGGAGAGAGGGAGTAAGGAATTCAAGCTAAATAGAGAATTGCAGGCCAGCCTGGGCTACAGGACACTCTGTCTCAAAAAACCAAGTATCAAAAAAGAAAAAAAAAAAAAAAAAGAAGAGAGAGAGGTAGTTAGGAGAGAGGGAAGGAGAAAAAAAAAGGAACAAAGAATTCCGAAAAGAAACAGATAAGAGTCCACGTAGGCCTGCCGCAACAACGTGTGAACGCTAGAGGGCGAGGGGCGACAGAAACCCAGCTTAGACCATGCGGACAGCAACATGTGTGGAGGACCCAGAGGATGCCGTAACAGCGATGGATGACATGACGTCAGCCCCAAAGCTTGCTCCTGGTGACAACTGCTGTGCTTCGCCCTCACAGCAAAGCCGGAAATGAGAAGTCTCAGTAAGACCCCCACTTTACAGTAAGAACCGAAAGCCCAGTGTTATTAAATGAATCCTTGCAGGCTGCCACACCAGAAACCGCTGGGGTTTGCAGGTGGCTCTGACTTTATAGCCCGGATGTTGTCCCCTACTCTCCCCGCCCAGGTCCCTTCCAGGCGGTGTTTCTAAGCCCCAAGATCTATAAAGCATTGCTTAGAGGTGAGCGGGGGAGGGGTGGGGTGGGGGTGGGGGTGGGTGGGTGGGGTGTCAATGCCTGTGGTCCCTTCTAGAGAGGGTGGGCTCTGGGGCAGCAGGGAGCTGGGGGAGGGGGGTATGGAGCAGCAGCCAGGGGCTGTGGGACCAGCTCTGGATAGAGGGAGGCCCTGTGTGAAAGTCCTTTCGACTGGGCCCTGGCAGAGCTGGCCCCCGGGGAAACTGCCAGGGCTATTAATAACCCCCTGCTGAGTCAGGGGGCTCTTGGGTTGCAACAACACAACACCTAGGAGTCCTAGGGCAGCAAGGACGCTCTTGACCCCGTGGCTCCTCCCTCCCACCTGCACTGTCCGCCTCAGGCTGTGCCCTCTGGAGTAAGCGGAGGCCGGTGCCCCACACAGGGCTGTCCTCAGTGTTCTTATGTGCAAGAAGTATTCTTCTAAAGACTGCGTTGTAGTGAGCCTATTGTGCTCTTCCCTGTCGAGGGAGCCAGGGCTCTGACGATCCAGTTCATCAGCTGCCTACCCAGGGCCCCGCTCAAAGCTGAGGGGACCCTGCTAGGAGCCCTCTGTTTCAGCACACCTACTAAGGGATGAGATGGGCTGTGAGGTCAAGCCTGAACTGATTTCAGAACTCATGCTCATGTATCCATTCATCATCATCGCTACCTTCATTATTTTATTGATTTATTGATTTTTGGGTTTTTTGTTTATTTATTTATTTATTTATTTATTTTTGTTTTTGTTTCTCTACTTGTAGCCCTGGCTGTCCTGGAACTCACTTTGTAGACCAGGCTGGCCTTGAACTCACAGAGATCTGCCTGCCTCTGCCTCTTGGAGTGCTGGGATTAAAGGCGAGTGTCACCATGCATGGCTACCATCATTATTTTAATAATAATAATAATAATAATAATAATTATTATTATTATTGTTTTGATGATTTTGTTGCCTCAGCTGGCCTCAAATTCACTCTGGGGACAGGATAACTGAACTTCTGATGGTCCGGCCTGCAGCTCCTGAGTGCAGCACCCAGGGTTTCATGCAGTCGAGACCTGTGTCAACTAAGCTGTACCCCGGCCCTCATGTATGTTTTAAAGACAGATCACGCTGTGTAGCTCAGGATAGTCTCAAACTAGAGATCATCCTGCTTCTGTCCCCGAGGGTTGGACTCCAGGCCCAGCAGCTCTCATGCTGTTTAGCTCAGTCATTCCGTGTGGTGTCCGTGGGATCTGATCAAGGGCTCAGTGGCTACATACAAGACTCTCACACCTGCATGCCCTTCTCACGGCCTCCTGGGACTCTCTGGGGACCTGGCCTTCCTCCCCCTCTTCCTTCTACACCACAGGATGGTAAGCTCCCTGCACATGTGACCCAGGTCTGGGTCCCTTTCTCAGCTCTGCTCCATAGCAGGGTTTCAGGTCCAAGGCCCTTGCAGAGAGCCCTTATCACCCAGCCCCACACATCCCTGAGAGCCTGGGACGGTCAGCTCACCCTGATCCCAGCCCTTCACAAACCCTGTTATCAGGAGACACATTCCAACCCACGCTCTCTCCTCCTGCACAGGGTAAGATAGAGCCCGTAGTCTTCCGGACACGTGGGAAAGGGCGCCAGGGGAAGCAGAGGCTATCTCAGCAGGAAGCCGCACTGCAGGGTTGTTTCTTCAGACAGCTTGAGAAAACACCTTAGGATTGTCTTTGCCGGTTAGCTGAAGCCCAAATATGACTAGCTAGCTCACGACCCCTGCCGGGGCGGAATCTGGGAGCCAGGAGGTGGCTCTCCAGACATGGGGAGGGTCCATAACACATTTCTCAGTGACCTGGCTTTCCCCTAAGGCCCGGCTGCACCTGGTTTGTGGGAAGGCTTTTAGTATAGCTAGTGAAGACACAGAGCTGAGAGGCTGCTTACCACAGGAGCGTGGGGCAAAGGCCAAGTGTGAGTTTATAATCTGTGGTAAGCATAACTCCATCACCTGTCAATCGCCTGCAGGGGTAGGGAGTGGAAGGTTTGGAGCCGTGAATCAGGAGGCTGAAACTGGACCTTCCTGGTTTTGCTGAGCCTCAATTTATCCTTTTTCTTAAAAATAATTAATTAAATTTATTTTATATGCATTACTATGAAGGAATCCCTTGGAATTGATCTTACAGACAGCTGTGAGCTGCCATGAGGGTTTTTTGTTGTTATTGTTTGTTTGTTTGTTTGTTTTTGACAGGGTCTCATATATATTGCTCTGGCAGTCCTTGCTCTGTAGACCAGACTGGCCTCAAACTCACAGAGATCTGCTTGCCTCTGCCTCTGGAGTGCTGAGGTTAAAGGTTTGTACCACTGTACCTTTCTTTCCTTCTTTCTTTCTTTCTTTCTTTCTTTCTTTCTTTCTTTCTTTCTTTCTTTCTTTCTTTCTTCCTTCCTTTCTTCCTTCCTTCCTTCCTTCCTTTCATTTGTTTTTCGAGACCGAATTTCTCTGTATAGGCCTGGCATGGCCTGGTTTTGTAGACCAGGCTGGCCTTGAATTCACATTGATCCACATACCTCTGCCTCCCTGAGTGCTGTGATTACAGGCTTGAGCCACCATGCCCAGCTCTCTCTCTCTCTCTCTCTCTGTGTGTGTGTGTGTGTGTGTGTGTGTGTGTGTGTGTGTTGAGACAGGGTTTTTCTGTGTAGCCATGGCTGTTCTGGAACTCCCTCTGTAGACCAGGCTGGCCCCAAACTTGGAGATTCACCCGCCTCTGTCCCCCGAGTGCTGGGATTAAGGGCGTGCACCACCACTGCCTGGCGTCACTTGTCTTAAGTTATGAACAATGGAAATTCATGTCATGGGTGGCAATGTCTTGAAGGGCTTAGTAAAGAGCCTGGCACCTAGGCTGGACGGATGTGGGCAAGAGGTCAGCCTGGTCTACATAACAAGTTGAGTACATCCAGGGAGACATAGCGAGACCCTGTCTCAGAGAGAGAGAGAGAGGCCCGATGCACAGTAGGCACTTCGGAAAGTGTCTTCCATACACACACAAACACTTGAGAGCTGGGTGTGCTGGTGCACAGTTACAGTGTGAGCCCGTAAGAGGCTGAGGTAAAAGGATTGAATTTGAGGCTAGCCCAAAACTACAGAGCAAGACATTCAAACACACACAGACCCTCCAACAGCCAGACACAAACACAGACCGAGCTGGATGGTCGTATGCAACCTCTTTAACTTTTAGCTATTTTATTTTTAACTGTGTGTGAACGTGTGTCTGTTGATGCACATCTGTGGGTAACTGTCGCTGTATGTTGCTCCGCCTCTAACCCCAGCTCCAGGGGATCTGGTGCCTCTTCTGGCTTCTGGGGCACACCTTTGTCCACACGTGACCTTTCCACACCCACACAGGCACCAGGGATCCCCAACCCTGTCTTCCAGCCCTCATATGCTCAGAAGCGGTAGACCGGAAGAAGATACAGCCTTAGCTCAACCAGGCGCAGGAAGCCCGCCAAAGGCAGGCTCTGTGCTGGTCTGCCAGCAAGGCCTTGCAGGGGCGCTTTCAGGGAAGGGAAAAACCACAGGGGAAAGCTAGGAACAAACCTGGCTGGGCCACCCAGGGTGGCAGCACCCAGCCAAAGTGGCAGAAGACGGCAAGCAAGCAAACGAGAATGGGGTTCGCGTGTCTAGAGAGTGAAACATGGGCGTGAGGTGCTGGGGTGCAGAGGCAGAAGGTGGAACCAGTCTGTCTGGATGATCCAGGTGGACCAGGATGCTGGAGGCCTGGTTCCCATGGTGACTACAGGATAGAGGGATTCAAGCTGGGGGTTTTGAACAGCAGCATTGGTTGGAAGCTCAGCAAGTCCTTTCTGAAGGCAAATGTTGAGCAAAGGCTCTGAGTCAATCGGAGCCATGACCTCATGGGCAGAAATGAATTTACGCATAAAAGCAAGCCTACGGAGGTGAGATCTGCGAAGGACTGCAGATACCGAATATCTCTGAGTAGGGGTGTCTCTGATTGGGAACATGGACCAGTCAATGAATTACCTGTTCCGTGACACTAAGGTGCTGAGAGATAAAGCTGACAAAGGACAGACGTGTGTATGCGTGTGTTCAGTTCATGTCCGTGGGTGCTCATGTATACCTTTGTATGTGGAAACCAGAGGTCAATCCTAGGTTGTTTCTTTTTTTTCCTTCGTGTGTGCGTGGTTTACATGCATGTGTATTCACATGTATGTGGGCAGGTGTGTGTGTGACTGTGCATGCGTGTGTAAGTGTGTATATAGAGGCACAAGGTTCCTTGATTGCTGTCTACTGTATTCGTGAGCTAGGACCTCGTGGTCAAGCCCAGAGCCTGCAGAAAGGGCTAGCCTGGCCAGGTAGCTGGTTCCAGGCTTCCCCTGTCTCGATGGAATCACGGGGTCTGAAACTTTTACCCAGCATCACATATGTTTTCACACTGCACAGCAAGCACTTTACACACAGAGCCACTCCTCGGCCCTTAGTTTTTGAGGCCCGGTCTCTCACTGCACCTGGAGCTTGCCGATCACGGTAGCCTGGCAGGCCAGCGTACCCCACGGGTCTGCCCTTCTGCACCTCCCAGCGCTGACATTGCAAGTGCCCGGCCACCGTGACGGCCTTTGCGAACGAGTTCTGAGGCTCAAACTTGGGTCTTTGGCCTTGCTCAGCCAGCATTTTACAACTGAGCTATTCACCCAGCCCCGGTGAGACTCCAACGTATACGGAACTTCTGGAAGTGAAATAAACATTTCAAGTAAAACACACAGGGTTTCTCTGAAATAAGCATTTCAACTAAAACACACAGGGTTTCTCTACATAGTCTTAGCTGTCCTGGTCTCACTTTGTAGAGCAGGCTAGCCTCGAACTCACAGAGATCTGCCTGCCTCTGCCTCCTGAGTCCTGGAATTACAGGCGTGCTCCACCACACCCGGCTACCCAGGGCTCTTCGGATGGCTAGCTGGGTGAAGGCATGTGGCACCAAGGTTCATGACCCGAGTTCCATCCCTGGGACTCACATGGTGGCAAGGACTGACTCCTGAAAGTTGTTCTCTGACCTCCATACATGCACCATGACATGAACATGCTCCTCCCAACAGAAAGAAAGAAATATACAAGTTAAAAAACAAAAAAGCAAATGCATCGTTCTAGACCAGCCAGAGATCTTACTCAACGAAACCAAAATAAGGCAAGTATAGACTTTTTTTTTTCTTTCTCAGAATGCAACAAAAACAGGGAAGGAGAAGGGAAACTCCAGGCAGGGGGAAGTGTGAAGGGCAGAGTGAAGAGAGAGACATGGGATTACAGATGACCCCAAGCTTCCCTCCAAGGCTGTGCGCAAGTCTAGAGAAGATACCAATCAGGACCGTGACCCCAGGAGGACTGAGAGGAAAGGGTAAGTCGGAGGTGCCACTCTTAAACACACACTGCATGGAAGGGCTGGTTGGGATTTGAAGCAAATGTTTGGAAAATGATGGTTGTAGTGTCTCAACCTTGTAAATTCACACATTAACTTTTTGTTTTTCCTTTCTTTTGAGATAGGTTTCAGGTAGCCCAGGCTGGAGTTGAACTAAGCCAAGGATGTCCCTGAAGTCCTCATCTTCCTTCCTGAGTGCTGGGATCACAGGTGTGCACCAGCTGGGGCATATGGTGCTGGGGAAGGGACCCAGGGCTGGGTACATGCTGGGCAAGTGCTCCACCCACTGAGCGTCAGCCCACACTGGTACTTTGACAGCCACAAATCAAGAGAGGGAGGTAGTCCACATCAGCAGAGAGAGGAAGAGAAAACGAAACAACTCAAAGAGGGCCAAGAGAAAAGAGAAGAGAAACAGAAAGGACAGAACTAGAAGAAAGGGGAGAGAAAATAAGGCAGAGTAGAATCCAAGTGCACAAAATTGTAAGTAGAAGAAGCTTGCCAGCTCAAAGTCTCGGCTGAGCGGGAGGGTAAATGAACGCCGCTCAGGTGGAGTCAGGAGGCAGTATACATAAGTCTGTTCTCGCTCCACCTTGTCTGGACCAGGGATTGAACCCTGGTGGTCAGACTTGCCAGCAGGTGCCTACCAAGCCAGCTCTGACTCTGCCAGTGAGCTACAAGGATCCTGTGTTCTCCACCTCACATCCCAGCACTGGGTCTCAGCATCCTCTCCTCAAGGGTGCTGGCGATCCGACTCAGACCCTCTCGCTCAGGCAGCAGAGACTTCCCAGGCCACCACCTCAATTTAAATAAGACAACACTGAGTGCAGCCAAAAACAAAATAATAGAAACAAAACAAAACCCTGCCGAGGAGTTAGAGAGACGGCGCAGCAGTTAAGAGCACTGGCTGCTCTAGCGGAGGAACCAGGCTCAAGCCCTGGCACCCCAGCTCTCCACTCCAGCCCCAGGAGAACTGACTTCTTCTGGCCCCCTTGGGTACCAGGCATGTCCCTACTGGGAACCCTAAAGTCTCCAAAGAAGATGGGTGGCACAGACCTGGATTGTGGTGACGCTAACCACTGGGAAAAACTGACCATGCATTGCCTGCCGCTAGGGCCCTGCAGAAACTGTGGACACTGTTGCGTTGATTGCCCTACTCTGCCTTGCCAAAGTAGGTTTGTCCCCCAGGTTCCTCCTCTACAGGAAAATCTCAGACCTGGGTCAACCAGCCAAAGGCTGGTGCTGTCCTGTGCAGTAGCTGAAGATGTACTGTTGTCCCCAGTGAAGTCATCAAGCCACCAGGGCAGCTCTCTAGGTATTGGCTAAGTCTCCTTGTCATTTTAATCGATACCGAGGCCATTTTGACTATACTTCCTGCTGTAATTTATCCTTCTCAGAACTCTAATGGTGTTGATGGCTAACTGTGGCTTCATCAGCTTAGCAGCAGCTGCTGATCAATGTTTTTCACATCTAAAAACAAGGCCTCACTCTTCTGGAGCTATTGGATCACTTGATGAAAAAGGCAAACTCACAGGCAGGTTCGCCTTACTAACAGGCTTTGTATTAAACAGGTTTCAGATGTAACTTACACTGTTTAAAGGAGAAAGTATGGTGGCCTATAGGCTTGACCTTATAAACTCTTGCAACACATGGCTCAAGGAAGGCCATTCCAGCTAGGAAATTTCAGGAAGCGGTCCTGACCAAAGTCCATCTCTTGGTCAGTATTTAATATTTAATAAAGCTTGCTTTAAATTTAGCCCTAAAATGGTGGGATTGATTTTTCTCCTGTGAATATCAAGATTAACACCAATCTCAAAAAAAAATTTTTAAAAATTAAGGTTTATTTAAATTACGAAGGTCTAAAAATAATTTAAGTTCTAAACATCCGAGGGTATAAATAGTCTAAATAAGTTATGACAAATTATAAACAATGGTAATATAAGCTTCAGGGAGAAAAAAAAAAAAAGTCCTAAGACTTGGATCCACCTCAGCTCTAATGGACTCCAGATAAGAACTCCTGTCAACAACAGCCTGAGCTTCCCTGCCTATTGCCCTCGCCTGATAGAGAAGCTCGAAATATAAAAATTTCCTTTAAGTTCGTTAACAACTTCCATCCCTAGTCTGTATATGCTTCGGCAGAGTTTCACCCAACTTGTAGACACCACCCAGAAATCAGCGGCTGGCTACAGACTGCTCCATGCCAGCCTCGGGTGGTGCCACAAAACCGGAAAGCCCCGGACTTGCTGAAAACGGATCTAAGCCAGTTAAGTCAGTGTGATTGCTCCCTGTGACTTCAGCTGGGTCAGCTAACCAGATGCTTCTGATCAGTACCCTCTTGCCCTAATCCCCTCATGAACTTTGGTTAATATTTTGAGTTTCTGGGCCCTGACAATGGAATCCTAATTTCAGCAGGAAGTAGTTACAGAGATTACATCGCCCCTCATGTTCAAGAAAGGGCTGGAATATTAGGTACAAGGAAATTCCTTGGCAGAGGGAACAGGTGGCTACCAATAGAAACCATTGGCACACCACGGTTACACGACCTAAAAATATTTGTTCTATCTATGCTTACCAAATAACTGTAATTTGTGAATGAGCAATGCATCTTTTGATGCATTTCCCCTCAGATAAAGAATGCTAAGACCCTATCGAGGGTTTGACAGGGACTCATAAGACAACTAGCCTGTGTCCATCTTAGGCTTAAATGCCACCTTGTCTTAAGTACAAAATAGGCTCAGTTTATGGTTAAACATCATTTCTCAAGGACTGGGCTATGCCCCACCTGTAACCTTAACTACAAATGGTTCTGTACCCCCTGTTCCAGAAATGGCGATCATGTCTGTTTCAAAAAGTTGTTTATAACCATCTTGCAACCCTACCTTTGTTTCAAAGGACCACCTGAGTGACTGTTCTGCCCACCCTGCAACCCTGTCTTGTTTCAGGATGTCCTGAGGACTGATGGGTATGCTTATATCCTGCTCCTGTACCCCACCTATTTTGTTTACTAAATACCCCATTTGTCAACCCCTACTGGAGTGCTAAAAGCCTTGTCTTCCTCATATCTCTGAAGCTAACCTCTAGAACCCCACTTAAGGGGGAGGCAGCCTGTGAACATGATTTTTAAAACTTGCTTCAATTAGTTGATCTCTTTAATTGATTTGGCCATTGGGATTAATAATACATGCAGACAAAGTATTCACACACTAAAATTTAAATGACAACAAAAACTACAAACAAAAACGACCTAGACAGGACCCCAACCAGTCTGACACAAATCAAGCATAGGTCTGGTTGTTGGTAAAGAAACAGTTCTGAGCTGGGCGCAGGGGTGTGTGCTTGTCATCCCAGCACTGTGGAAGGCAGAGGCAGGTGGATCTCTGTGAGGTCTGCAAATCGAGTTTAGGACAGCTAGGGCTCTGTAACACAGAGAAGCCCTGTCTCAAAAGAAAGAAAAGAAAGAGATAAAGAAAAAGAGAAAAAGTAGAACAAAAGAAAGAAAGGAAGGAAGGAAGAGAAAGAAAGGAAGGAAGAAAGAAGAGTTCAGAATATTAAGAAAGAAAAGTAGATCAGGAAACTGCAGGGTTTTTTTATATTTTATTTTTGTTTTATGTAGTTTGGGGTTTTGCCTTCATGCATGTCTCTATGAGGGAGTCAGATCAGTTAGAGCTGGACTGCAGACAGTTGTGAGTGGAAATGTGGGTGCTGGGGACTGAACTCGGGTCCTCTGGAAGAACAGCCGCTGCTCTTAACCACTGAGCCATCTCTCCAGCCCTAAAACTGCAGTTTTTGTTGTTCAAAATTGTCTACACTTTTATAAATGTAGGGAAAAAAACACTGGACAGGACTGAACAAAATATTTTTGCCTCTGGTGTTCCTGTGTAGATTCTATATATATATATTTTTAATAATGAAAAAGAACTCATGTGTAACCAAAACACATAATAATCTGATGATCCGGTCATTTCTTAAGGAAATTCTCCCTGTTCTTCCGGAGGCTCTCAAGAGACTCCTTGCACATCTGCAGGCTCAGGGCTAATAGAATTTTTAGGAGAGGGAGTGGAGGTGACCTAGGTCGCTCCAGAGGCAGAGCCCTCCCCACTGGAATTCTTTGACTCCAAGCTCACGGTGCCCCAGGACCCCACTTACAGCCATGCCTCTGCCTCCCCTCCCTGGTGGAAGGTCAGCTCTGTGGGCAGAGATTTCACACACACTGTCCTCGTGTCAAGAGCAGAAGCAATGGAGCAGAGGCGAGGTGGCTTCGGGACTCCAGATGCTTCTCTCAAGAGTCCCAGCTGGACTCCCCTCTCCAGGCCTGGTCCCCTGGTAGGCCTTAGGGGAGGGAGGGAGGCAGAGCCTTTGCCAGACTTCACAGCTGGGCTGCTGGTGGGAGGGACTTTCTCTGGACCCAAAAGCCCTCCAACTCTCCTGGAAGACTTCCTATCCCACCAGCGTCATCCTGGGGCCAGGTCTCTTCTCTCTCTCTCTCTCTCTCTCTCTCTCTCTCTCTCTCTCTCTCCTCATCATGTGGCTCTGGCTGGCCTGGAACGCACTATGCATGTAGACCAGATTGGTCTTGAATTCAGAAATCTTTCTGCTTCTGCTCTAGTGCTGAGATTAAAGGCATGTATCACCATGCCAATCTTTTTTCCTTTTGGTTAAAAATTAGAAAAATTACCTATTTATCTATTTAGTGAGTTCCTGTATGTGTGTGTTCAAATATACCATGGCATGCATGTGGAGGTCAGAGGACAACTTGCAGGAGCTTGTTCTGTCCTTCTACCATGTGAGACCTGGGGATCAACTCAAGTCGCCAGCCTTGGTGGAAAGTGCTTTTACCCACGGAAACATCTTGTCAGCTTTGGGACCAGGTTATTAAAAGCTCTAACTAGAGACCTGGTGTTTTTATGGGCTGGAAGAGCCGCTGTATGCCAATGACCAGACTTTGACATTTTCCTGGCTAAATAGCTGGGCTCGGTGTCCCTGGCTGGCTTTAGGACTTGCAATATATAGATATGTTTTTGTGAGTGTTGTCAGATAAAACACAGGGCACTTGAGCTCAGGATGTAGCTCAGGTGGGAGAGTGCTTGCCTGGCATGCATGAAGACCTGGGTTCAATTTCCAGCACAGCATAAGCCAGGCATGAAGGCACTCCATGACCTTAAGGTAGGAGGATCAGAAGTTCAAGGTCGTGGTTGGCTACATACAGAGCTGGAGGCCAGCCTGGGCTACGTGAGGCCCTGTCTCCAACAAAAGCAGGACACTGAGTTGAATCTGAACTCTAGATAAATGGGTCATTTTTTTTTTAGAGTGCTCCCCCCTTGGCAGGCTGGGTTTTTACTAGCCGAATCTGGCCTGGAGCTAAGAGTGTGTGCAAATCTGGGCCTGAAAGAACGTGTGCAAGTGTGAGCATACACACTAGTGCAACAGTGTATGTGTGTGTGTGTGTGTGTGGGTGTGCATGGCTTTAAAGACACATGTGCACAGGGCTACACACGCACAAGAAAAAGGCATGAGGGTTTCCAAGTGTGCTGGTGTGACATGCTTTTACATGTGCATTTCTCTTGAAGCGTAAACACACATGCTCACATTCACACCTACATGTATGTGTGTGCTAACACATGAAGAGTTAGATACAGAAAAATGATCACTGTGCAAGACATGCAGGCTTAGGATCCTCTGTGTGTGAGTTTACATAGGAGAAACATAGGACCCTCAGCCAGCAATGCTGTGTGTGCGTGTGTGTCTGTGATTCGAGGCTTGGGAGGGCATGAGGACAGCAGGCCTCTGAGCTCTCGGTTGCTGCAGCCTGGCGTCAGCTCAGCCCCATGACTGACCCACGATTTTGACTTTTTCCCAAGCACGGAAAAGTCAGCCGGAGGAGAACCAGCCACGGCTGGTGCGGGCCGGTGAGGGCCACGAACACGCACCGGTTACATAAACACCACAGTCCAAGCAATGGCCAGATGTTCAGTCCTCGCTGAGCCAGATGGCAGCAGATCCTGAGATTGTGGGATTTTCTAGGTCCTGCGGCTCCCTCCCTTGTCCCTTCTGATCCCTCCACTCCTCCTCACACAGCATTTCTGTTGGTGTTGGAAGCCTCCTGAGGCTTCATTCAGTTTGGCTTGCGGGAAGAGGGGACATCTTCTCTCTTTGCCTGACATGGTGGCCTTCTGTGTGTCTGTCTGTCTTTTGTTTTTTTGTTTATGTTTTGTTTTGGCTTTTAATGTGTATATGTGTGTGGGAGGGATTCATCTTGTGTGTGGCAAGTATGTGTGCATACGTGTGTGTGTGTGTGTGTGTGTGTGTGTGTGTGTGTGTGTGTGTGTATCAGCCGGAGGTCAACCTTGACTGTTGTTCCTCAGGGCTGCTCACTAATTTTCTTTCTAAGTTAGGGTCTCTCATTGATACCTCGGGCTCCCTAATTAGACTAAACTCGCTGATCAGGGAGCCCAGGGTGGGGTACACTTGTCTCTGCCTCCTCAGCACACTCTGATGTATAAGCATGTGTCACACCCAGATGGTATTTTTAGGTCAGTTCTGGGGATAGAACTCAGGTCTTTGGGCTTGGATGGCGAGCTCCTTATTTCCTGACCTATCTCCCCAGTTCTGCTTTTTTTTTTTTTCTTTCTTTGTTTTGTTTTGAGACAGGGTTTCTCTGCGTAGCCCTGAGTGTCCTAGAACTCTATATGTAGACCAGGCTGCCCTCAAACTCACAGAGATCCACCTGCCTCTGCCTCCCAAGTGCTGGGATCAAAGGTGTGCACCACCACTAAACTTCGATTTTGGCTTTTTGAGACAAGGTCTTGCTCTGTGTCCCAGGATGGCTTAGAACTTCATGATCCTCTTGCCTCAGCCTCCTGAGGGTTGAAGTGACAGGCACACCCTGCGGTGTTTGGAGGTATCTGTTTTAACTCCCTCTTTTTTAAGGACATTGTCAGTAAGGATGAAAGCCACTTGGTCGTCTCTCTCCAAGCTCATTCACATTCTGAGGCCCTCAGATCACGACTTTTGCATGCCAATCAACCCTTAGACCCCTGACTACTTACTCTCGAGGGGTTTTCTGCCAGCCCCACCACTGTCATCATGCCAGCTGTGTGTGCCCAGGGACCTTCAGCTCCCAGCTCTTCACACAGACAAACTCAAACCCTACTGAAGATCAGATGGGATCTCAGAGCCAAGAGTTCAGAGGTGACATCTTCAGTGCTGGCTTTACTGTGAAAGGAAGGGGTCAGGTCGCACCTCTGCCATGACCCTGAGCCATGGAGCCAGGAGGCTGACAAGGAGGGACAGGCTCTGCAGTGTCTGGGGTCATGAGTAACCTCAACACCTCTGGACCTCACTTTCCATAGCTGTGAAATGGGCCCTTGGACAGCACGAGTCTAGAGATCTCATGGCTTGCTGTTTGTTGGGGATTTGTGGGAAAATAACACTGAGGCTGGTGAGCTCTCCAGCAGCTGCGGCCGTTGGGGTGGGAGGAGCCCCACGGTGTCCCTTATCTGTTTCCTGTAGCCACATAACAGATTGCCACAAGCTTAGTGACTTAAAGCCACACACGCCTGCCCTGCTGCTCTGTGGGACAGAGGTCCACAGCAGTGTTGCTGGCCAGATGGAGGTGCTGTCAGCGTGCTCCTTCCCAGATCCCTCTGCGGTTTGTGACCCCTGCTGACCCCTCCTGCGCCTCAAAGCACCATTCTCAAGTCTGAGCATGCTGCCTTGCACTCTCTTCCACTTCCACGGATGCTTGTGATCGGTGGGCTTCCAGAGCTGTCTGCCCCTGTTGGTCAGCCCTCAGCAGCCTTGTTCCGCCTGCTGCACAGAGCCTCTCAGAGTGACTGCAGCAGAACACCCCAGGCCAAGGAGCCTGTAAACAATGGAAATGTCTTCCCCTGCCAGGTGGTGCCTGCCTGTCATCCCAGCACTGGGGGAGGCAGAGGCAGGCGGATCTCTGTGAGTTTGAGGCCAGCCTAGCCTGGTCTACAAAGTGAGCCCAGGGCAGCCAAGGCTACACAGAGAAACCCTGTTTCGAGAAAAAAAAAAAAAAGTCTTCCTCATGATTGAAAGCTGAGTTCAAAGGTCAGAAGCTGGTGAGGGAGGGTCCTGGGCTAGGTTGCTGATGTTGGCCTTCCTGCTTCCTCTGCACACTGTGGAAGGGTGTGTGTCTTC